GCGCAGAAACTTGGAGATAAAGCCCACGGCGGCGGCGATCTCGCGTATCATGTTGGCCCGGGTGTAAAGGGCAGGATGCATGGAGGCGGCGGGGGCGAGGGGCAGCCAGCTCCGGTGCTTGAGTGGGAGGGCACGGTGTGAGCACACATAGGCCACCCAAAGCGGTGGAGGGGGGGGAAGCGACCGAATGACCGGGAGGAAGAAAGAGATCGGACAGACTGACAGCCGTCTGGAGGAGGGGGGGAAGGGACCGATCGATCAAGTTTAGAGGACTGAACTTCGGAGGGGCCCCCCCACTGCTCCTGCTCAGCCGCCCCCCCTATGACGTAGGCTGCTGCCGGCGGCTGCTCGCCAAAGAACTCCCACCATCTCCTTCTACGAGGCACGAAGGAAGAGGAGCTGCGTGCACCGCGTTTTATAACCACGGCCCGACGGCAATGGCGGCGGAGAAGGGGCCGAGGAGGCGCCGCGGCCAATCCGGAGATCGCACCATTGTGACGTCACGTTTGGAACGGAGGGGCACGCGGAGGAGTGATGTCATCTGATTGTAAACAAATAGAACTAAGCGGGGGGGGGGAAGAGAGAGCCGTTTGGAGCACGGTGTGTTCGCTGCGCGGGACTAGAGCATAGTCGCAGTAGCGGCTTTGAAAATGGAACGTCTGGCACCGAGACGTTCCATGACGGCCGTGGCAGCAAAATAATAGCGGGGGAGCAAAGTTGCCTGCCAGATGGCCTCCAGTGCTGCGGAGGTCCAGTGATCGATGCCCTACTTTTAATACAGTGTAAAACAGGGACGTATGGATTCTTGGAAATGCAGTGGCAAAATTGGAATTGAGAAGGCGAGGAATCCGGGCTTGTTCCGAGATATGGGGGAAGGGAAACCAATGTCTGGGCCCTTCTAAATTCTGCTTCATACTGATTTCCTCCTTCCAATCTGCCTCTCAAATCCCGGCCAGTTTTAGCTTCAGCACAGTAACGACGAAGGTAATAATAGCCGCCTTGGGGACAAAAGGGCAACTAATGATGCTATAATCTGGCGCCTGCGACTCCTTTGGAATCAGTTGAAAATCATCTGTATCCCAAGAAACAAACGCATTTAATCCTGGTGAATGGACTGGACGGGCGACATCATAGTTCGTGAGTTTCTCCCAGTCTAATAATCAAAAGGGACAACGTTTCTGTCTCCTTGATAGTGCAATGATGGATTCAGTGTACTTTCCCAGGGGAGAAGAAAAAGCAATCTGGAGCCTATCAGCTGCTCTTATTCTGTCACAGCTGCTAAACATTACTTAAAATAGAAGAAAAATAACAAAACGGAAGATGTGCTGTTCTCAGGGTTCTTAAAGATCTTAACACATACCTTTTATGAAATGTTAATAATTTTTCTCATATATTTTCAACCCCTCTACAATGTCGTCTTTATAATTGCACCACACTAATCCATTCAGGATAGTATCTCAGAAATCACCCTGGAGCAGATACTGCAACAACACTGTTGCATTCTATTCCAATTTTTCACTCATACTTAAAAATCTAGGAAGTTTCTGGATGACTTTGGAATCTCATTTTATTGCCATGCTATTAGTGCCATTTTGCAAATAGCACTGGTGCAGTTTGAAACACTGTGTACTGCAGGAACTACACTAGAACTGCAATACTCTGAACACACATCCATCGTATTTGCAAGAGAAGTGTAGCTAAATTTTAAAAGTGTGACACTGCAAAAAGATAGGCCCATCAATGCTGAAACAATAGTTATCTATATTTCCCTGAAACAAGAGCCTTGAAAATTGAAATATGTTGGAATATCCAGTAAGTTTAAGTAAACAACTCCTATTACAGTATTTGATTTACATTCCCTTGACATGCAGTTACGAGATGCTACCTCTAGTATGCTTTATTTGTCCAAACACTAGTAATTTATGGTGTTTTGTTTAGGTATTCTGGCAGACTTGACAATTTGAAGTTCATACCTAAAAGATCCAGGACTCTTACAAACTTTTTCCCCATTATAGTCTATTATTACTATTATTGTTATTGTTGCATAGATCCATTTTTCAGGAACAATCAAGATTACTTACAAAAACAGTAAAACATGTTAAGCAAACAATACCATACATACAGCATTTGAACAATGCAACTTATGCAAATTAACATTTATCCACATCATACAAAAGGCAGTTGTTTTATGTACTCTCAAGATGCTTCCAGAAATTTCTATCTTTTGCAGTCTTCCTCAGGTCTTGCAGACTTAAAGATCTGGTTCCATTATTAAGTCAATCCATTTCATAGCTGGATTTCCTCTTTTTCTGCTGCCAATGTCCCAGCATTGACATATTTTCCCAGTTAATGTTATCATCTCATGATATACCCAAAGTCTAATTCAGTAGATGTTTGCTTCTAGAAAACTCACTCTAGAAGCACTAAATACAATGGCATCCATAATGCTTTTCATAGCATGTATATTTCTAAGGACATACACATACCCTTTTAAAAAAGAGTTCAGTGGAGCAGAAAAGCAGAATTCATCAAAGAGATTTGCCTACTGTTTCTTACCCAATGCAGCAAAACAACTGCATTTAATTGCCAAGGGCAGTTTTGTAAGGAGGTAGAGCCATCCCAAAATAACCAAACTGTGCCTCTGGAGGAGTGCAATTCCTCTGTTTTAATAGAAAATCCCTTTGCTTCTTCCAAAGTGAAAATGTTATGTTGTAGGGGTTTTTTTTTTACAAATTGGAAGTGACTTCCTTATGAAGACCCCCTGGAGGCCTTCAGGTTGCAAAGACATACATCAGCATCCTTCAGTCTTGAGAGACTATGGTAACATGCTCTGAATCGAGGAGCGTCCTCTCCAGGGCACGAAGCCTGGGTAAAATAATATGGAGGATAGGCTGTTACCCAACCAGCAAATCCCCCCCTCTCCATATCACTGAAATAGTCCAGTGGAAAAGCAAGAGCCAATATAACTGGTTCCAGCAATGTCGCAGGAGTTGCCAGAGTGTCACGAACTGCCTCCGGGACTCCGGCTCTGGATTTTGCCTTGAGGTTAACCCCTGAAGCCTTTTCCATCAGTGGATATAGCCACAAGGCAGTGGAGGTTTGAAATTGGAGTTTTCCTTCTCCTAGATGGGCTGCCTTCCATGGCTGACGAGTCCCACCTACCCGGGCAAAGACACAACACAAAACAAAACAAAAATGCCTCTGGGCCGCTGACGTTGCCCACCTTTACTTTATATAAAGAGAATCACACTCTGTGTGTTGCTCTTTGCCAAGTTTCAGTGGGCCACCAGGAGGCAGCTAGACCCTCTCCTCACTTCTAAGGAATCACTTGATGGCAAGAAGACCCAGCTGGGCCCATTCATTGGCCAGAGAAGGTGCACCTAAAGGCACCTGGTTTTCCACTCTGCTAGAAGGAGCACTTGGGTCCAGTCTTCTGTTGACTAGAACAGAATGAAAGCACACAATTAGGGAGGGCTTTTGAAATGCCCCCACCACTCAGCTAGCACAAGGGGCTAGCACATGCTGTGGCTTCCACTGTCAGCAAGAGAGACTTAGGGCCACTGGGTAGCTACATCCTCTACCTCCCCACCAGGAAAAACCTCATGGCAAGGGGCTCATCATCATGCTTGTCCCAGCCAGTCAGAAGAAGAGCAGGGAGTGTGCTTTCCTGATCCCTACCAGAAAGAATACTCCACTCTTCCAGCTTTCAAGAAGATCAAGCTACCGGTACATTTTCTCCCAAGTATTTTCGACTAGCCGAACGCAACAGCCTCATACAGAGCTTATGACTACTGAACAAGAATAACTACTTAGGAAACCAATAAGCAAACTCACATAAGGCAGCCCTTATGCAGAGCGCAAGTGCCATTGCTAGTCTCCAGTAAAGGAAGAAAGGGGGAAAGGAAGTGAGTCCAAGAGTAGTGATCTACATATACATCTAGAAAAGGCAACAAGGGGGAAACAGACAAATCCAGCAGGTCCTGATCACTCACTACTGGCATTGGTGGTCCATTTCCAATACTGTGGGTTCCAATCCAGATTGGGATGGGGAGGCAAAGGGCTAAATTCCTCCCACCATCATGCAAGATCCCAGTGCAGATTTGGTCCTCATGCTTCCTTTTAAGTAAGAAAAAAAATATAAGTGCTAGGAATTTTGCTAAAAGAATTTTAATTTGACCTTGGAACTATAAAAGCAAGAGGAAAGAAGCTTTTGTCCCTTTCAATTGGCCTAAGAAATAAGAGCCAGCAACGCAGCCACCAAATAAATGCAAGAGTCCCAGCAAGAGGAGAGCAGCCTTGCCCAAACTAGTTATAAATGCTTGCTTTTAGTTCAGTCACTTTGTTATGGCATTGATGATCTGATCTCCCTCCCCTATCTCTCCCTTCCCCCTTACGTCCTGTCTTTTTAGCTTGTAAGCCTGAGGGCAATGCCTGTTTCTCTTTTTTATTAACACAAGTCGCTTTCTGAGGCAATATTTGTCCAAAAAGCTGGATTTTAAAAAATACAGTAAATCTATCAATCACCCAACAGGCACCTCAACCCCTTTCAATTATATGAATTTGCACTAAGGGCCAAACAAAGTGTGGTGCTACTTCATTAAATATATCTATCAGCAGCATAACTTTTGTTATTGCTGTTGCATTGGCCTTAGAGAATATGAGAGGCATTTATTAGTTCTTCCACTGGGCCAGTTTCTACTGGTGAGAGGCTACGTATTTTCCTCAGGCAGAAAAGCTCCTTGTTATCTGCTGACAGGAAGGTGTCTCAGGCCTTATGAAACTTTTTTTTTTTCATCATCATCTGAACTCTTCTGTGGCTGCCAGCTGAAAGATCTCCTTTGTAGCCTTTCAGAGAATAACTGAGAAAGGTTTGCTGGGAACTATCCAGGTTGAGCCAAAATTCTCAAAACACTTCCCCCCTCCCCGGGGAAATTTTTAAGACTTTTAAAGGTTTCTATTTCCCACCCTTCCCTCACCCCAGGAGAAAAAAGACTAAAGAATTCTCCCTGCATATTCCAACAAGAATATTCTGTTTGGTGTGCCTCCTTGACGGGCTGGCCTTGATGGTCCATAGGGTCTCTTCTGCAGTTCTACGATGATGATAATTGTTTTATTTTTGTGGGAGATATAAAGAGTGGGGCATTGGGCTACTTCCTGATGCTATGTTTCTAGCAGTTTTGGGAATGGGGAATGCAACTTGGATGGTGCCTTTCACCTTGACTTTGTGCTGATCAATGATAAGACATTGTCATTAAGCAGACAATGTTCAGAATCCTAGTGGTTAGTTTCAGTGGTGTAAGTTCAATGGTATTAGTTGTAGTGGTGAACTGCCACTTGTGTGCCTTGTTTCCTGGACTATGGATAAAAGTGGCAATTGATTAACTACAGGCAAATTACCACTGAAA